ATCTACTCAGACACTACAGTGGAAGTGTGTTGAATCAAGGGTAGACAGTAAGCGTCTTTATTATGGACGCTTTATTATGTCTCCACTTATGAAAGGTCAAGCAGATACAATAGGCATTGCAATGCGAAGAATTTTGCTCGGAGAAATAGAGGGAACATGTATCACACGTGCAAAATCTGAGAAAATACCACATGAATATTCTACCATAATAGGTATTCAAGAATCAATACATGAAATTTTAATGAATTTAAAAGAAGTTGTATTGAGAAGTAATCTGTATGGAACTCGGGACGCGTCTATTTGTTTCAAAGGTCCTGGATATGTAACTGCTCAAGACATCATTTTACCACCTTCGGTGGAAGTCATTGATAATACACAACATATAGCTAACCTAACAGAACCTATTAATTTGTGTATTGAATTAGAAATTGATAGAAAGCGGGGATATCGTATAAAACACTAAACAACATTCAAGATGGAAGTTATACTATAGATGCTGTATTCATGCCTGTTAGAAATGCAAATCATAGTATTCATTCTTATGTGAATGAAATGAAAAACAAGAGATACTAGTTCTCGAAATATGGACAAATGGAAGTTTAACTCCTAAGGAAGCACTTTATGAAGCCTCCCGGAATTTGATTGATTTATTTATTCCTTTTTTACATGCAGAAGAAGAAAACTTAAATTTTGAAAACAATCAACACAAAATTACTTTGCCCCTTTTTACTTTTCATGATAGATTGGTTAAGGATAAACTAAGGAAAAATAAAAAAGAAATGAAATTGAAATCTACTTTTATTGACCAATTAGAATTGCCTCCCCGATCTATAATTGTCTTAAAAAGTCCAATATACATACATTATTTGAACTTTTGAATAAGACTCAAGAAGACCTTCTGAAAATTGTACATTTTCGCGTAGAAGATTTACAAAATATATTATTCAACTTTTTACAAATCGAAAAGCATTTTTTATAAATTGAAAATCTATTGGATTTTTTTGAATCTTTCATTTTTATAAAAAGAAAGGTTCAAATATGAAATTTGAATCTTTAGCACAAATCAATATATTCAGAATAGGTCTAAAATGAAATAGATGTATCTAGGGATTAGTCATTTCAAAGTGAATTTTCCCTAGATACACAACACAATACACTGTCATGATATTTTACAATAGAATCAATTTAAAAAAGACCTAACGTTAGGGATTTTTCAATAGGTAATGTTGCTCCAATACCCAACCAAAGAGCCACGACAGTACCAATCAAAAAGACGGTTGTTGCTACTGGACGCCGAAATGGGTTTTGGAACTTATTCACATTCTCCAAAAAAGTACTGTTAATAATCCCGCCGGTTACTGAAACCATTAAAAGAACGCCCAATAATTTATTGGGTACGGTACGAAGTATTTGAAATACGGGAAAAAAATACCATTCGGGCAATATTTCCAAAGGAGTTGCAAACGGATCTGCGGGTTCCCCAATCATTGATGGTTCGAGAACCGCTAAGCCTACGTTACAGGCAATAGTACCCAGAATAACTACTGGAAAAATATATAAAAGATCATTAGGCCATGCGGGTTCGCCATAATAATTATGACCCATCCCTTTGGCCAATTTTGCTCTTAATACAGGATCATTCAAGTCAGGTTTTTTTGTTATTGGGATAGGTGAATTCTTATAGATCCATCCTCCGAAAGAACCGGACATGATAATTTTTCATCATCCGGCTCGAGCACGAATCAAACCAACTGGAATGCAGACATAGAAATTTTGTAGATGTGAGTCACTCATATATCATGATTCTATGTAATAAAACGGGTTGAATTCTTTTTTTTCCGAAATTACAACTATCCATTGCAAAAAATTTAAGTTCTTATTTTTAAGTAAATGCTTTTCACCCAAGTAAGTTTTAAAATAAAAATCAAAAGTTCTTTCTGGGTGATCTCAAACCTTTCGCCTGTTATACCTCGAAAAATGAATTTTGGAATTTTTGACATAGAAAGGATTTACTTGTTACTAATAGAATACAACCCCCCTTTTTCTTTAGATCTACTTGTTTAACTCCGATAGTATCATAAATTGAGTCAATGCATAGGAAATGAATGCATTTCCATACTATGTAAGTTTAATGAAATACATACGACATAATCTAGATTATATCATATTCCTTTTTTTACTGGATATTACGGAGCCTGTTCATGCAGGATATGATCGACTGATCATAGAAAAGATTATCTTCAAGCGAACCGGACTATCCTCTGTAGAGGACTGACGCGGTGGTTGGAACAAAGACACATTTCATTGTGAATTCAAATGTGGCAGATAAGATCAAGTCATATATCTGCATGGCCCAATCAATAGTTCAAGTCACACACTCCCATAATCCATTCTTTTTTCGGAGAGTTCCCTTCAACTATTTGTGTATGTCAAATAAAGAATCCAGTTTATTTTGTTAAGTTGAAGGGAAATATCCAAATACATGTCTTATTAAAGAAAAATAATGCATATTTGTAGCAATGAAATACTATTACTCCTCCCCAAAATGATTGATTACAAATCTCTATGATTCATATTCTCTATAAAGGACCAGAAATTCCTTGCTTACGTATCATTGGAAAGTGCATTAACATGAATACGGCAGTAAGAAGAGGTAATACAAAAGTATGTAAACTATAAAAACGAGTCAAGGTAGATTGTCCCACACTAGCACTGCCGCGCAATAACTCTACCACCGAGGATCCTATTACAGGAATAGCGTCGGGTACACCCGTTACAATTTTGACTGCCCAATAACCGATTTGGTCCCAAGGTAAGGAATAACCTGTTACACCAAAGGATGCAGTCAATACACCCAAAACTACACCTGTAACCCAAGTCAATTCGCGAGGTTTTTTAAAACCACCAGTGAGATACACGCGAAATACGTGCAAGATCATCATTAAGACCATCATACTTGCTGACCATCGATGAACTGATCGGATTAACCAACCAAAGTTAGCCTCAGTCATTATATATTGAACAGAAGCAAAAGCCTCCGTAACGGTTGGACGATAATAAAAAGTCATAGCGAAACCCGTCGCTACTTGGACTAAAAAACAAGTAAGTGTAATTCCTCCTAAACAATAAAATATATTGACATGAGGAGGTACATATTTACTAGTTATATCATCGGCAATCGCCTGAATCTCAAGACGTTCTTCGAACCAATCATAGACTTTATTGAGATAGGTAAACCAAGGGACCCCCCTGAGAACCGTATATGAGAATTTCATCTCGTACGGCTCAAACAAAAATACTCAAATACTGGTTATTTGGAAAACGGATACGTGTAATAGAAAGTCTTAAACTTTTTCACTTAATCCTATTATTCCAGTCTTTTTTGAAGATAAAAAAAAATAGAAATCCAAAAGCTATTCTTAGTGTTTATAATGTCAAAATTTCAAGTCGGCTCACTCGTCTTTTCTCTTGATCCTTACCGGCCTCTTGAATATTCTATTATTTACTTCATTTTTTTTGTATTGTGTATGTAATAAGATTTTACTGCTGTTTTTTTTTATGATTAATAAGAATTTTCTTGTTAAGACCCTATAGAATCAATTTAAAAACCTGAGATTCATACCAGAACCACGATGATTTCCCCAAAAAACCTTTAATCGAAGTCCATAAATTCCCTGAGTAAGAACTGCTGGATCATCATTTATTCAATTAATAGATAGAATGAAAAAAAAAAAGACAAAGAAATGATAAGCGGTGGCAGTTTTAAAGAATAAAATTCCATTTCTTTTTCTAAATGAATTCTTATAATTCTTTCATTTTTTTTCGTCCGGTTGCGAGGTCTAAATATCAATATAAATATGAAGTATGAATCATAGTTCTAACACTTTAGAATCTATTTATTTTCTATATTCCGTGCTCCAGATACTAGAATAAATATCTGACGGGGGAAAGCCATCTATCAAGATAAGATGACGTATCCATTTTCTGTTCTGTACTATCAATAGGATCCATTATAACAAGTCACACACTCATATTCCGGAAATACAGAAACAAAGAAGTTTCGCGGTCGAACTACCAAATCAAAATGGAATGGGCTAAAAATTAACGATTTAAATGCTAAACTTGACTTTTCGATTGAAAAGCTAGTTAGTTGGTTCTTGTGAATCTAATTCTCTAATTCATAGAAATTTGGTCCAGTAAAAGGGACGAATTATAAATCTCTAAAATAATAGAGAGAAATACCGCAAATAGGGCCATTGCAATCCCCATCAAAGGGGTAGTTCCCCACCCCGGAGCTACTTTACCATATTCTGAATTCAATGGTTTCAATAAATCTCCTACAACAGTTCGTCTTGGACCAGATCTAGAACTACCCTCAACGGTTTGTGTAGCCATAAATCCTATATATCTTTTTTTTATTGAGATCTGTTGACTTTGTATACCATTCCGCTGTAGATAAAGGATCGTACCCTATAGATCCATTGTAGTCTTGATATTCTATAATCATGGAAACAGCAACCCTAATTGCCATCTCTATATCCGGTTTAATTGTAAGTTTTACTGGGTATGCCTTATATACTGCTTTTGGGCAACCCTCTCAACAACTAAGAGATCCATTCGAAGAACATGGGGACTAGTTGAAGTAATGAGCCCCCAATATCGTAATATTGGAGGCTCGTTACTTCAATTGAGATAATTAAAAATCATTTTGTGTTTTTAGTTGGAACTTGAGGGGGTTCTCTAAAAAAAATAGCGAAAAAAATGATTCCTAAAGTCGAGACTAAGAGGAATGTATAAACCAATGCTTCCATAGATTTGATCGTGGTTTACAATTATAGCTTTCATACCTGTTTTGGGGGAATTATCTCCTGGATAAAGAAAAAGAAAGAACCAGAGTAAAACAAAATGGAATGATTGAAATCAATATTTCTCTAGTTCCCTATATCAAATTCAAATAACAACAAAAAAAGTCGAATCGAAAAGGAACAAACCTATTTCTATCAGACTCCCTGTTTTTTTGTAGTTGGATCTCCAAGTTTTTGGAATGCTCCAAATTCTACTTGCGCATCCAAATCTGGATCAATACCAGCAAAAACATCTCTGAACAAGGTTCTAGCACCATGCCAAATGTGCCCGAAAAAGAAGAGCAGAGCAAACGAAGCATGTCCAAAAGTAAACCAACCCCTTGGACTGCTACGAAAAACACCATCTGATTTTAAAGTAGCACGATCTAATTCAAAAATTTCACCCAATTGAGCACGTCGAGCATATTTTTTCACAGTAGCAGGATCACTATAACTGACTCCATTGAGTTCACCACCATAGAATTCAACAATTACACCGACTTGTTCGACACTATACTTTGATTCTGCCCTTCGAAAAGGAACATCCGCTCTAACAATTCCGTCTCCGTCTACCAAAACAACCGGAAATGTTTCAAAAAAAGTAGGCATACGACGTACAAAAAGTTCACGCCCCTCTTTGTCTCTAAAGATAGGATGCCCTAACCAACCAACCGCTATTCCATCTCCATTGTCCATTGAGCCCGCTCTAAACAAACCCCCTTTTGCCGGATTATTACCGATGTAATCATAAAAAGCTAATTTTTCAGGAATTTTAGACCAAGCTTCTGATAAACTTTGATTTTTGACTAGCCCAGCACCAACTCTTCGATATATTTCTTGCTGGAAGTATCCCTGATCCCATTGATAACGAGTAGGACCAAATAATTCAATCGGGGTAGTTGCTGAACCATACCACATAGTTCCAGCAACAACAAAAGCTGCAAAAAATACAGCAGCGATACTACTGGAAAGGACGGTTTCAATATTTCCCATACGCAATCCTTTGTATAAACGTTGAGGTGGACGCACACTAAGATGGAAAAGACCCGCTAATATGCCCAATGTCCCTGCTGCAATATGATGAGAGGCTATTCCCCCCGGAACAAAAGGATCAAAACCGTCCACACCCCATGCGGGATTTACAGATTGTACCCTTCCTGTTAGTCCATAAGGATCGGATATCCATATTCCAGGACCAAATAATCCTGTTACATGAAAGGCGCCAAAACCAAAACACGCCACCCCTGCAAGAAATAAATGAATTCCAAATATTTTTGGTAAATCCAAAGAAGGTTTTCCAGTACGTTCATCACAAAAGATTTCTAGATCCCAATAGACCCAATGCCAAATAGCCGCCAAAAAGCACAAGCCCGAAAACACAATATGTGCCGCGGCCACACCTTCGTAACTCCAAATACCCGGATTCGTTATAGTGCCTCCTGTGATATTCCAACTTCTGTGATATTCCAACACCCCACGAATTGGTTATTCCTAAACGAGTCATGAAGGGTATAACGAACATACCCTGTCTCCACATTGGGTCAAGAACCGGGTCAGAGGATCAAAAACTGCTATTCATATAAAGCCATCGCAACCGGCCCAACCAGCAACCAGAGCTGTATGCATTATATGGACAGAAAGTAAACGGCCGGGATCATTTAATACAACGTATGAACACGATACCAAGGCAAACCCATGAAAATACCCCTTATATCAACAAAAAATAGACACTATGTAACTTTATTGCACTGTAAAAAACTATGCTATGGCCCTTCCCCTTATTAGTAAATTATATCGCATGAAATAATTTATATTTGTTCTAGTTTTTTAGAAACAAAGGAACATTCTATTCGTTGGAACAAAAAGAAGCAGATCTATTCTATATCCGATAAGTAACAATACGCAATGGCAATGGTGGTGGGGTTTAGTTTTTTTTTTTTATATGCGTGTTTATATCAGTGAATGCAGACACTGGATACTAATACAAGAACAACAAATCCCTTTTTTCGTCAAAAGAAAGATTCGTTGTTCGTGTATTAGACACAAAAAAAAAGTCTACGGGTCTTTCTGGTTTAATTACAAAGATAGAGCTTTCTATATATATAGAAGACTTTCTTATACTAGAACTAGAAGCTGAGGGTTCTTTACATTCATTATTAGCTTCGGACTATAAACTGAGGATCAATGAAAATGTGAATAGGATTAATTGGTTTCTAATAATATAATTCATGAAGCAAAGAAGAATATTTCTAGAATTCAATTCGATAGGAAATATAGAATATACTTTTTTTGGTTGTCGGAGATCCTTTTTGTTTAGAATTCCCCTCTTTCATTTAAAGAATTCAATTCATTAGTCCGTCCAGTAACACGTAACAAGAATAGCAGTAGAGACATATCCAAGGAACGACCTATTCATCAAAACTTTCCTTTAGTCTTCTTTTTTTGATGTTATTTGGCGAAATAAAAAATGATTTTGAACAAAATCAACTCATTCTGTCTCCGGATGTTCTCACACCAAAGCAAAATCCGGTCGACAATTTCCATTCCAGTTTATGCCGGTAGGTGTTCCCAAAGTAGCCTTTGATGTTCCCGGCGAGGATGAAGCTTCTTGGATTGACTTATACTATCGACTTTTCACGAAAGACTACTTTTTTTAGGTAAAGAGGTTAGCAGTGAAATATCAAATCAACTCGTCGGTATAATGGTATATCTAAGTTTAGAGAACAAGAACAAAGATTTGTATATGTTTATAAATTCTCCAGGCGGAGGGATTCTATCTGGAATGGCAATTTTTGATGTTATGCAATTTGTAGAAGCAGAAGTACAGACAGTATGCGTTAGGATTAGCCGCTTCAATGGGATCTCATATTTTGTTAGGAGGAGAAATTACCAAACGTCTAGCATTCCCTCATGCTTGGCGCCACTGATTCTTATTTGTAGAAAAAAAAAAGAAGACTATGTCTACGCCAGTATTAAGCCAAAAAAGCATGGCACTTTGAGTTCGATATGCTAAAATAATTTTTTTTTTTTCAAAACCATTAGATTATATATCGAAAGAGTAGTGTGAAAAAGGGGTATTTACTATTTTTATCCCTGATCTATCGGAGCCTCTTTTAGTGTTACAATTTTTTGGACTTATTTGAAAAAAAGAACTTTGGGATTGCTGAATCAAAAACTAGAAGAAATAAGATAGCAACGGAATCATCATAGTCTTTAAAAAAGATTCTCAAAAAAAAGAAGGGTGGTTATTAGATCTTTACTGATCTGGGTCTGATAAACCGGTATATTTTTTTTGTATTTTTTCAATGAAGGGTCTAAAAAATGAAAATTGAAAGTAGAGCCGTATGCTATATAAAAAATAAAGAAAAAAAGAGGCTTGCCTGTACGGCGAAAAGAAATTGAAGTTCTTTTTTCTATCTCTTCATTCTTTTTTTTTACGGTAAGATTAAGAGAAATAAACCTTAATTATAGTATACTCTCAGGGTAATGCTGCATCAACCTGCTAGTTCTTTTTATGAGGGAAACACGGGCGAATCTATGATGGAAGTGACGGAAATAATGAAAATGCAAACAACTATGATAAATATTTATTGCCAAAGAACAGGCAACCTTCCTGGCAGATATATAAAGACATGGAAAGGGATTTTTTTATGTCAGCAGAAGAAGCCCAAGCCTACGGAATAATTGATACAGTAGCGGATTCTTTGTAAATCCAAAAATTTGCATAAAATCTTTATTCCCTTTTTGATCCTAATAATGAGAATATTTTCTTTCTACTATTTCTGATGCTTCTTTCCTAACGTACCGACTAAATGCAGAATTATAATTTGATGTTGTCTTTTATCTTTTTAATCACCCGATTTTATAGAGTCCTTATCAATTTGAAAATTATCAGGTTAGGATTGATCCAAACCAGCTCATTATGTATATGACTCCCATGCCACTATAAACCAACTTATTAGAAACACAAGACAGCCAATCCGGACTGTAACAAAATCTCCCGCTCTTCGGGATGCCCTCAACGCCGAGGAACATGTATTAAGGTGTATGTGCGACTCGTTAGATCATATACTGAAATTAAAAAATATATTCAATTAATAAGAATTGATATATATAATTCTATTGTGTATAAAATTTATGCTTTCTCAATTGGTGCAAACCAAATTACCTTAATTTGAATTTAAGATGAAATATACTTTTCCCATTGGTAACAAAAAGTGATCCATTAAGCGGGAAAAATCCTCTTTGAAATAAAGACAAATTATGCCCTAATTTTAAGCAATAACGGACTAAGAGGTCAACTACCCAGCTAACTTCATACTTAAATACCGTTACTGTATAGCTAGATTTTATTGTGAAAGACCTATTACTATATATTCAATGGGTAGAGCTAAGAAGTGTGAACTGTACAAGTTCACAATAACATTGATTGAATCAAGATCAATGAAGGAAGGGGCTCCGGTGTATAGAGAGGACCTCACCGTTTAACAAGTAATCATAGAAACGATGGAACCCACGATTTCTTTGTTTATTCTATTTTATTTACTATGTTTTTTTGAATACCTAGTATCAATAGAAGTTATTATTAAGAGTTAAAATACTTATACTTAGAAAAAAACGAAAAAAAAAAATAGTGGTTGGAAGGGTATAGTAGCAAAAGCCATTGGAATTTATATTTTCCACATTGGAAGAATCCATGTTGTTCGTAATAGACTAGAAAGGATAAAAGAATAACTGAAAGAAAAAAATTAAATAGTTATTAATCAAAGTCTCATTTATCCAATGAACAGAATTAAACGAGGATCTATCGCGAGAAAACGGAGGACAAAATTGAGTTCCTTTACATCAGGCTTCGCGGAGCTCATTCAAAACTTATTCGAATTATTTTCCAATCAGAGAATAAAAGCTTGGTTTCGTCTCAACGGGATAGAGATAAGAAAAAAAGGGACTTTCGCAGTTGTGGATCAGTCGAATAAATGCAATAATAAGCCAGAATAAAGAAAAAAATATACTATCGCTATAGTAATTTAATGTATACTCTGTACAAGAATCAATTGCTTCTTAATCGTAAAATAGTTGCACAAATTAGCTAGATTAAAGGGGAATTGTCTTTTTATGATTGCCAACGATATCATCAAAAATAAAAATTCCCCGGAGAATTAACTCCGGGAAGGTGGTAGAATAAAAATAGATTTGTATGATAAAATAGAATTCAGCTCAAAAAACAAAAAAAAAAACTACCAATCCGCATAAACTTTGAGTTTAGATTCAATTAATTATTAAATTAATTGAAGTAACGTAACTCTATTTTTTTTTTTTTTAAGAACAGGAGGAGTAGCTCTAGTAATCGACTTGATTTTTTCATATTTTTTTTTTGCATTTTTAACAAAAGGTGACGAATTTACAAAAGGTAACAAAGATAAAATACGAGCTTGTTTTATAGCAATCGTAATCAATCGTTGTTGTTTTAAGGTCAATTTATTCACACATCTAGGTATAATTTTTCCTTGTAGCGTGATAAATTCGAAAAGTAAACTCAAGTTTTTATAATCAATTCGATCCCCAGATTGGATTAGGGGCGAACTCCTACGAATTGATTGCTTCGATTTAACAAACAGTCGCTTAGATTTCTCCATGGTTTGTTTATTCCTATACCGAAAATCCCGTTTGTTTTATAAAAAAAGGATTTGTTTTAGTTATATTCTTATTTTTTTTTGTAATATATTTGGAAAATATATGCTATATAATG